GAGCGGGGTTGGTCTAGATGACCTGAGAGGTCCCTTCCAGCCCTATGATTCTATGATCAATGCTCACATTGTGGGGGAAAATTTAGCGACTGAATAAACCTTACCAGACACTAGAAATGTCATGCTGGGCTCTAAGACAGGTTTATTTTTTGATGATGCAGGAAAAAAAAATGGGAGTTTGATTTTCACTAGATATCATAGGAAATGCCTAGTTGGTAATACTGCCATCGGCATCTTCCGTTGTGTGGAGAAACCATTCCTGGACTAGGTCAGGGTTTATCAACCTTGGTGAGTTGAAGTCCAGCATCTTAAAGTCACCCAAGTTGAGAAGCACCGGTGTAAACATTCTCATCTGAAGAGTCTTCTTAGTTCATGGAAATATGAAGAAACACCATCTCCCTCGTGTAGAGAATTTAACATGAAGCCAGGGAAAAGAAATCCCTAATATACAGGCCATCCTTGACTTACAACCGTTCATTTAGTGTCTGCCAAGAGCACTGAAAAAAGTGATCTATGACCGCTTTTCCCACTTAGGACCACTAGAATCACATGATCAAAATTCAGATGCTTGGCAACTGGTTCAATATTTTACAACGGCTGCCATGTCCTGGGGTCATGTGATCAACTTTTGCAACCTTCCGGCAAGCAACTTCAATGAGGAAGCCAGTTTCACTTAACAACCGTGTTACTAACTTAACAACTGCAGTGATTCACTTAACAACTATGGAATGAAACGGGGCAAAATTCACTTATCAACTTTCTTGCTTAGCAACAGATATTTTGGGCTCCATTGGGATTGTAATTCGAGGACTTCCTGTATGTATTTTCTACCTCCAGGGCATTCATGTATGGAGGAACAAAATATTCTCCAACAGCATGAAGAAGTACTGTACTGATGCTTTGTGTAATTTCTGGATCCATCACAGAGCTTATGCTTAATTCTGTATTTGGGACACAATCTTAACACCTGCATTGGGTTACCTTTATTTTGGCTATTCCTTTTATTTAATTAATTTCTCAGAAAAAAAAAACATCAGGGCTGCTAGAAGTTCAGTTATCCACATGGGTTGTTAGAAAAAATTTGCACATGATAATATTTGTTTTGGGGGACTCCAGACATTGAGACAGCTGATGGAGGAACAAAGGGAACAAGGAGAATTTTGGGAAATGGAGGGATTCCTGTCATTTGTAATAGGGTTCCAACTATTAAATTAACTAAATAAAATTATTAGCCACTTTCAGACACTGGTTACTGGACAATGCCACATTCAGTATTTTGGTTCCAGAGCAGTGGAGAACCTGTAAAAAACAGTCTGATTGAATTCATCCTCCAAATCCTTTTGTTGAAAAGGATCCAACCCATATTGAGAAAAAGGTAGGAATCGACAAAGCCTTCTTTGAGATACTCAAATGTTTCCTTTTCTTGATATAGATCAGCTTTGCCTTGAAGACACACAATCTCAACTTGACATTTAATCTAACCTTAGCAACTTTAATATATGTGGACTTCAACTCCCAGAATTCCCCCAGCCAGCATGTTGGCTGGGAGAATTCTGGGAGTTGAAGTCTTAAAGCCACCGAGGGTGAGAAACATTGCTTTAATCCCATATTTAGGGACCAGTCAATGCTACCATTTTAGGAATGAAGTAGAAGTGGAGTATATCATTCTATTCATTCCATACTTTCAGCTCTCATGTTCGATGGGTTGCTAGAATCTTTGTGGTGACAACGATTTTATTCTAAAATTAGTAGGTTGTTTTTCTTATTTTTTTGTGACTGTATGCTGCACCAAGGCTCTTATTATTAGGAGTCATATTGTTGATGAATAAACAACATATTTAGCATCATTAAAAGAACATATTTCTTGCGAATGCTGAAGGATAGTTTCCCCTCAGATATATATTATTCCAAAATTTCTATGTGGCAAACTATATTTTTTTAAAGGAATGGTTGCAATTTGGGAGAGGGAGCAGTGGCACTTTTGGAAATACTAAGTATTACTTATCAGATTCCAGGGTAGTTACCCTGTTTCTCCAACAATACGGCCTCCCCCAATAGGAAGTCCCAGCATGTTTTATAGGCATGAAATGAAATTAAGCCCTTCCCCCCAAATTAAGGCCTATATTAAAACATGCGAAATGGGGTGGTGGTGGTGGGGGCTTGCCGTTAGGAAGTACTTTTGTTGCACACCCGGATATGGTGCTGCCTGCGTTGACCCCAATACGAAGTGCCCCACCAATGCCGAGGTCAACATCCAAGCCGTCGACACCTGCCCACCCAAAGATGCAAGGGGGGGGGGAATTAAGTCACCCCTGAAAAGACAGCCTAGCCATTTTTTCGGGGCTCAAAAAAAAATAAGACCCGGCCTTATTAAATGAGAAACACGGTACTTTTAATTCCAGTTTTGGAACTGGAACCCAAGCCATTTTAAGGTGTGTCGTGTTTAGCTTTCCAGAATTCACCAGCCTTAGAATTCTACAATTCCAAGCCTACTAAGAAATTGTGTTGGTGCCTATTTCATCTGGCACAATTCTAAATATAAGAATTCCAAATTTGAGAGTGTGTTGTAAGCACTGCCCAAAATGTTTATGTCTATTTCAATGAGTCTTACTGGTTCACATGTCTATCATAAACATGATTATGTGCCATTGAGTTGCTGATTTTTAAGGACCACAAAGATGGTTTTTTCCCCGATGGCGATATTGCCCTAACACGGTTCTTCAGGTCTTCCAATGGTGGCCCCATTGGGACAGGATCTGAGTTCATCCATCTTGTTGCTGTTCCTCTTTTTCTTCTCTTTCCTTCCTCCTTTCCCAGCATCAGAGCCTTTTCCAGGCAGCTGGATCTTTGCATCATGTGATCTCCTTGATAAAATAAAAAACCCCGATAGTTGATAAGCTTCCTATATCCTGGTTTGTATGTTTGTATATGTATGTACAGTATGTATGCATGCATACACAAACCAGGATTCAAGAAGTCTATCTGCAGCGAGATTTTTTAAAATTTTCTCTTTGATTAGAAAACTTCTAGCACAATTGTTCCCCAAACTCTTTGGATCTCAAAAATAACCACTGGAAGTTGATCAGTGAATTAAAAAGAACAAAGGCTGCTATGTGCAGAAATCAACAAAACCAACGTAGACTCACTCATTTAAGATGAAGGCAATTTTCATTGCAGACAGCAAAGTTGCAAGCCACCATTTGTGACAGGTTCAGTGTATAAATGCATAATGTTTAAGATCCATAGTGAATATTCACTGAATTCTGTAAACTAAAATTTCAACAGTAAAGTTGTTATATGCAAATTGAGCTCACCCAATATTCCCTCAGTATTTTCAACATTTCTATATTGGTGAACTTCAACTCTCAGAATCCTCCTCAATAATGAGCACGTTTACTGAGGAACTCTTGGAAATGAATTCTGCAGACTTGGAAATTTGCCAAGATTGGGACACACATGACCTATATCAGGTGCCAAGCACAAGGCCCACGGGCCGCATCCGGCCCGCAATGTGGTTGGATCCAGCCCATGGGGCTGTCCTGGAAAATGTAAGGGGCCGGCCCGCATCGCTTTGGCCCGGTCTACTCAATGCGAAGAGGAAACATGCCAGCAATTTGAGGAGTGGTGTCAAGCTGGGCACACCCATTCATTTGGCCACACCTACCCAGGTCTACCATAGCCTTGATGTGGCCTTCAACGAAATTGAGTTTGACACCCCTGGTCTACATGCATAGCCATGGGAGGCCAAAGTCACTGGTTTTCTCTCTCCCTCTCTCACACACACAGAGGGAGAGAGAGATTTTGTGTCTAATTCCAGCTGCTGCTGCCATAAGGCCTAGTGCAGTGGTGGCTAACCTTTTGGGGCTCCTGTGCCAAAAATTGCGAGCACACCAGCACGCCCATACTCACGTGCCAGCACCCAGAATGCAATGCGCGCGCCCCTCCTCACGGCCCCTGCACATGCGTGCGCAATCCCCACCCCCTTACCTGCACCGCGCCTCAGAGCCGTTTTTTCGGCTGGTTTGAGGCCTTTTTCGGCCTCCCAGAAGCTTGGAAAAAGCCTCTGCAAGGCTTCTCAGGGCGGATTACAGGCCCGTTTCGTCAAACAGGCCTATAATTCGGCCTAAGAAGCCTTACAGATGCTTTTTCCAAGCCTCTGGGAGGCCGAAAAAGGTCTCAAACCAACCCCCCCCCCAAATCAGCTGTGAGGCACAGGCATGCGCAGTGAAGTAAGTTTGCCTGGGGCTCGCGTGCCAGCACAAATGGCTCTGCGTGCCACTTGTGGCACCCGTGCCACAGGTTCGCCATCAGGGAGCTAGTGCAAGGATGGGCTGATCATCAACTAAGATAATTTTATCAAGAGCCTGGAAAGGACAGCTCCTGTCTACAGGGCATCTGTTCTTAACACCTCTTGAAATACCATGTTCAGTTCGGGTCCGCACAATACAACAACTGGAAAATTTAATGTACAGGTAGTCCTCGACTTACAACAGTGGGCCATTTTTCACAGTTACGACCTTTGTAGCAACCCCATGATTATGTGATCTCAATTCAGATGCTTGGCAACTGGTTCATACTTACAGCCGTTGCTGCGTCACTTAACAGTCGCTTTGCTTAGCCATGGAAATTCTGATGCTAACTGTAGTTGTAAGACAAGCATTACCGCTGTCTGTAGACTGTTAACCGTATTTCCCCTTAGACTTAAGGAAGACATACAGCGAAGACATGGAGTGCAAGGGGGGTGAGGGAAAAAGAAATCTAATTTCAGGTGTGAAACTCCCTATACCCAAACGGCTTCTAATCTAATTTTGGAAAGCTAGAATGACTCAGTCACCCATTTAAAACAGAGGTTAAGAGATCTGCCCTTCCACTAGGGATTATGACATAGATAACACTTAAATATTAAAAAAAATAGTACTTTTTACGGTTATTAATGCAGCCGGTTCTTTTCTAATCTAGGTTCGTAATTCTTTACGATCCATGTTTTATTTTTTCTATCACACACACACTCTCATTTTATTTTCTGGGGAAAGAACAATTTCATACAGTTGACGTATCAATCCCAGAATCCTCCAGTCTACTCGTTATAGACCAGGGGTCACCAACCTTTTGGACCTCAAGGGACCACTAAACTCATAATTTAAAATCCTACGGACCACTAATATGAATTTTGACTGACGGTGGCTTGCTGATGCTGGTGGGAAAGTTGGTCCCATATTCCAGAGCTGCCGTAGTCACAAGACTGGTGCTTTGGTCATCCCAGAGCAGCTGCTCCTCCACCCGGGTGCACCGGCCTGCCATGGACTGGAGGAGCTGCTCCAGGAGGACCAAAGGGCCAGTCCCGTGACTACTGCAGCTCTGGAATATGGACCGACTTTCCCACTGTCAGCAAGACACCCCGGGGCGGATTTCCCTCCCCCGCCGTTGGTCTTAACTTCCAGTTCCAGCTCACATGGCTCTACTCAAGGTAAGGTTTGTGCTTGGTCGAAGTGTGGAGGCCAGCGTGTGGGCAGGCCTTGTCTTCCCCCGCAGCCTGGATTTAATTGCTTTGGGGGGGAGTGCTTTGGGGGGACACATTTCTCTGCAGACCACCAACATTTTCTCGCAGACCACCAGTGGTCCCCGGCCCACCGGTTGACGACCACTGTTATAGACTATCTTGCGCATCCCTTCTCTATGCCATATGCTGACAGATCTCTATGGAGGAACAATAACAGAATCGCATTCCAGGCGCAGAAGCGAGCGTGTCTGCAATTCGCCTGAAGTGATGCCTTTAAAACAGGGAATTCTGTGTGATCCGTGGCCCATGCGTAAATCCCCATGTCCCAGGATGATGTCAAAGGGCTTGGAAGGCAAGGAGAAACATCTCTCTAAGGCAGGCATGGGCAACTCTGGGAAAGTCACCAGCTATGGACTTCAACTCAGGGGTGGAGTTCAAATATTTTTACTACCAGTTCTGTGGGTGTGGCGAGGTGGGTGTGGCCATGTGACTGGGTGGACATGGCTTCTTTTTTGTTTCCAGCACCCTCCCCTTGCGCTCCGTTTTTGGCTTCCTGGGCCTCATGAGGCCCAGGAGGCCAAAAACGGAGCATTGGGGGGAGGGGGTTGCACAGCACACACACACACACACACACTCTCCATTTGTTTGCCTCAGGGAATCCTCCTGGGCGAAGCAGTAAGACAGCGAGGGGGATCCCAACATAGCTGACTGTCAGAACAGCTAATCGTCGGGAGGAAAAAAAAAAGAAATACTAAAATCATCTAAAGCGGCAGGTGTTTTTTTTACTACCAGTTCACCCAAACCGGGCTGAACCGGTAGAATACCACCACAGCTTCAACTCCCAGAATTCTTGAGCCAGCAAAAAAATGACTGGCTCAGGTATTCTGGGAGTTGAAGTCCACATGTCCCAAAGTTGCCATAATTGTCCATTTATGCTCTAAGGCTATCTAAAATCACAGAAATAAAAGAATTTCTCAGGGCACAGCTCTATGACTAGCCTACATTCGTTCCAACAGCTTCCTTCAAACAGGTGTACTATCAAATCAGAAGACCTAGGAGTTCATAATGGAATCTGGGCCTCATCCACTAACTGAGGGTTTATTTGTTTTTTATTGTTTCTCCCCAGCATGGGTCCTCTCATGTTTATTAAGAATCGTCCTGCGAATGAAGCCTTTCCCGCAGTCAGAGCATTTGAAGGGTTTCTCGCCCGTGTGGGTTCTCTCGTGCACAATGAGACTCGAGCTCTGGTTGAATCCTTTCCCGCAATCAGCACATTTGTATGGCTTCTCCTCTGTATGGATCCGCTCGTGCCTGATAAGGCTCGATTTGTCGCTGAAGCTCTTCTCACAGGACCCGCAACTGTACGGCTTCTCCCCGGTGTGGATCCGCTCGTGCTTAATCAGGCTGGACCTGTCGCTGAAGCTTTTCCCGCAATCGGAGCACTTGTAAGGCTTCTCCCCCGTGTGGGTCCTCTCGTGGTTGGTCAGGTTGGACTTCCGGTTGAAGCTCTTCCCGCAGAATGAGCAATCGTAGGGCTTTTCCCCCGTGTGCGTCCCTTCGTGCCTGATCAAATGCGACCGGCTACTGAAGCTCTTCCCGCAGTCCGAACACTTGAACGGCTTCACGCCTGTGTGGATCCTTTCATGAGTCAAGAGGTGAGACCTACGCACGAAGCTTTTCCCGCAGCTGGAACACTTGTACGGTTTGTCCCCTCGGTGGGCTCGCTCGTGTTTGTTAAGGCTCGACTTGTCACTGAAAGGTCTCCGGCAGTGCGAGCAACTGTACGGTTTCTCCCCCGTGTGGATTCTCCGATGTATGACGAGGCTTGAATTCTGAATGAAACCCTTCCCGCAGTCCTGACACTTGAATGGCTTCAAACCGGTGTGTTTCATCTCATGAATCAGAAGGTTAGATTTCTGGACAAAGCCTTTCCCGCAAGCTGTGCAGCTGTAAGGTTTCTCTCCCCGGTGGATCCTCTCGTGAGCAAGGAGGCTGGAGCTCTGAATAAATCTCTTCTCGCAGTCCGAGCATTTGTACAGCCTCTGTTCTCGGTGGATCCTTTCGTGCCGCACGAGGGTGGAGCTCTGGTTGAACCTTTTCCCACATTCCAAGCACTTGTAAGGTCTCTGCTCCGTGTGACTCCGCTCGTGCCTGATGAGGCTGGAGCTCTGGTTGAACCGCTTCCCACATGCCGAGCAGCTGTACGGCTTCTCCCCGGTGTGCTTCCGCTTGTGCCTGATGAGGCTGGAACCATCGCTGAAGCTGTTGCCGCATTCGGAGCAGCGGAATGGCTTTTCCCCCGTGTGGATTCTCTCGTGGGTGCGAAGGTTGGACCTCTTCATGAAGCTTTTGGTGCAGCAAGAGCACTTGTGGGGTTTCTCTGCCATGTTTTGGTTCTCTTGTTTGATACATTTGGGTTTGTCAGGGAAATGCCTCACACAGCCGGAGTAAAATGGTACTTCTCTCTGAAACATTTTGTCATGGCCACCTCCTATCGGGATAAACAAAGAAATGTTCATTTTTAATCAATTTAATCGATTTAGGTTTTCAGCAGGGACATCTGTGGGGGTGGGTGGGAAAAGGGAATAAAAATGTTTGGAGGAGTTGTGACAGGATTTTGTCCTCTTTGTTGTCCTCAGACATCTCTTGGAAGACCACCACAGTCTATATCTTGACTAATTCATGGAAATAAGATCGTTAAGATCTCCCCATGGCGCTCCAGTTTACATAGATTGTGTTAAGCTAAGGGTCTTCAAACTTGATAGCTTTAAAACTTGTGGACTTCAACTCCCAGAGTTCCTCCTCCACTAATGTTAGCTCAGGCATTCTGGGAGTTGAAGTCTACAAGTCTTAAACTTGCCAAGGTTGGGGACCTCTGTGTTAAACCATAATGTAATTGTGTTCCAGATCAAGGTCTTTCTCCAGCTTGGCATTTCAGGTCCTCTAAAAGCAGAACGAATATGGAACCTGCTGGATCACACACACACACACAAAATTTGTGTCATGTTGTTATATCCAGGTTGAGAATCTCAGTTCAGAAGCAACATCTTGCCTAATACATACTGGAAAGAGATTTAGTAGGAAAACAAGCCTTTGACTGAGAGGAAATCTTTTTCTTTCTTTCTTTCTTTCTTTCTTTCTTTCTTTCTTTCTTTCTTT